CAACTCCCAGAATTCCCCAGCCAGCATTTGCTGGCTGGGGAATTCTGGGAGTTGAAGTCCAGACATCTTCAAGTTGCCAAGGTTGGGAAACACTGTTCTAGTCCAACCCTCTGCTCAAGCATGAGACCCTACACCATTCCAGACAAGTAGCTGCCAAATCTCTTTTTAAATACCTCCACTTTTGGAGGACTCACATCTTCTGGAGGCAAGTCATCCCAAGGATTCATTGTTCTAACTTTCAGGGAGTTTCTCTTTAATTCTCCTTGATTAGTTTCCACCCATTGCTTCTTGTCCTTCCCTCAGGTGCTTTGGAGAATAAGTTGACCCCCTCTTCTTCGTGGCAGCCCCTCAAATATTGGAACCCTGCTATCACGTCTCCCGTGGTCCTTCTTTTCACTAACTAGCCAAACCCAGTTCCCTCAATCGTTCAGCACCTGCAGTTTAGCCTCGAGGGTCTCCCAACGTCTCCATTGCTAGCTAAACTAGGAAGCCTTGTTTGTTCTTAAAAACCAATGCAATTTATATTGGAAGGGGAGCGATTATCTCTTGTCCTCCCTCCCCCTCCTTAGCAGGCAAAACCACCATCAATGGGCACATTCAAGAATGCTTCCTAGAACCATTGTTGAATGAAGCCGAGCAAGTCACAGAGAAACAAGGAAGTCCATTTAGCACGGGGGAACTCCCGTCTCCCCAGACACATTCCTCTTAATTGGGGTTGAACTCTTTCCCAATCAGCTTTAAATGGGGCTTTTCTGTTTCTCGGACTGTCCATGGGGAAGTAAGATGAGTAGGAAACTGAAAACGAGTAGGAGAGAAAGTCAATACATACAGAATACGGAAATGGGGAAACTCGCGATAGATAAATCTCTATTTCAGTCAAGGGTAAGGGCAAAACCCAACATGGTAGCTAAGACACAAATGCCAATCCTTCAATTGAAGGAAAAGAAATGGGTCCAAACCCAGGTTGATTGGTTGATTAATTGGTTGACAAGGTGCCATCCAGTTGAAGTCGACATTTAGTGACCGCATAGATTAAAAAGGTAAAGGTTCCCCTTGCATATATGGTTCCCCGACACTAGGGGTCGGTGCTCATCTCCGTTTCAAAGCCAAAGAGCTGGCGCTGTCTGAAGACGTCTCCGTGGTCATGTGGCCNTCTCAGCCCGCTGAACCTCCAGGTGCCAGTACCTGGCCTTGCACCCCCACAGGTCTTCCCTTTGCTTGGAAAGCCTATGCTCCTAGTCCTCAGTGAGGTGCTTCTGCTGAGCCTCCTTCTTGGTCGGTTCCCATTTGAACTGAGCTGTTTTGCCAACTCTTTCTCCTGGTGGCTGCTTAGCTCCAGCAACTGCTTCCTGTTGGGACTCTAAGGAGCCCGGGCGAGCAGGCGAGGAGTGGCTGGGGAGGGATGAGTAGAGGCCAGAGAGGCACCCCTTGATGTGAGTAATATCGAGTTAGCTATGCCCACCCTGTCAGATGAGCCACACCCACCCAGCCGGTCATTAGGCAGATCATATTAGTCGTCTGCGAGATTTAAAATTATGAATTTAGTGGTCCCTGAGATCCAAAAGTTTGGTGACCCCTGGACTAGAGGAGAGGAGCACAACACCAAAAGTTGGGGGTACGGCTAGTGGAGTAAAACCCGCAGGATCTCCTTTACCTTCCCTTCTCCAAGTGGGAAAGGGGAAGACTGGAAGCTTCCACGGGCCTCCATTTCCCTGTTTCTCAATTGATTGACGGTTCCTTCCCTCCTCTCAGGACTTCGAGTGTGGCGACGATGTTGAAATGTCCTTCATGAAGAATGGGAAGTGGCTAGGGGTGGCCTATCAAGTACGGAAGGAGAATTTGGGAGGGCAGGCCCTGTTCCCTCATGTCCTGGCGAAGAACTGTGCCATCGAGTTCAACTTCGGCCAAAGGGAAGACACCTTCTTTCCGGTTCCACCGGGATTCACCTTCATACAGCATCTCCCGCTGTCCGAGAGAGTTCGGGGCACAATTGGACCAAAGAACAAAAGGGAATGTGAAGTAGGTGGTCGTTCTCCCCGCCCCCAAATGTCAATCCAGGCCTGGCAGGTTCTGGAGTTCGGTTGCCAAGGTCCTTTGAGTGGACCAGGACTAGTCCCCCCCCCAAAAAATAGTATTGTATCAACTGGGTTTAAAACCATGCTTTAAACTGCTTAGAGCCGAGGTGGCGCAGTGGTTAGAGTGCAGTATTGCAGGCTATTTCTGCTGCCTGCTGACTGCCTGCAATTTGGCAGTTCGAATCTCACCAGGCTCAAGGTTGACTCAGCCTTTCGTCCTTCCAAAGTGGGTCAGATTGTTGTGGGCAAGAGGCCGACTCTGTAAACCGCTTAGAGAGGGTTGTAAAGCACTGCTGTTGCTATTACAAAATAATCAGAGGTTAATGCTCAGACTCCCAATTTGTCATGAGTGAAAAAGGGCCAATCAGAGTCTGACAGATCCAAACATAGCAACTAAGATGGTTATCACTGATTGGATATTAGACCGATACAACTACGCAGCAAGTCCTCGACTCAGGACCACAATTGAGCCCAAAATTTCTGCTATATGTATCTGCTATAGATGTATGTATGTATGTATGTATGTGTAGTGTCACAACATACCTATTTCCCTGGCTTAGCTGATAAAGGAGGAGAGCCTGTGGCTTAGTGGCTAATATAACTGCCTATATATATAACTATATATATAAATATATATATGCATATGTGTGTGTGTGTGTGTATATAACTATATATGTATATAACTATAACTATAT